GAGTCTGACTCTACAAGGAGCCCCACCCCCTTTCCAGGGAGGTTCCCACTCCTGTAGCACCAGTATCCACAGAGAAGCACCGTTATTGGCCTATGGCACACCTCTTAGGCACAAATCAATCAATCAATTATCATATGACAGTGTGTGTAGTATAGCCAGGAGATCCTAAGATTGTACCACAGCCAGAAGTTCTATCTCTTTTAGTGTTATGCACCACTAGGTGGCGAGCTAGACTTGTTTTTAAGCAAGAGACGTTTCAGGGTTGGTTCGCCATTGCCTGCCTCTGTGTCACGCCCCTGGTATTCCTTGGAGGTCTCCCATCCAAATACTAGCCAAGGCTGACCCTGCTTAGCTTCTGAGATCTGATGAGATCGGGCTAGCCTGGGCTATCCAAGTCAGGGCTCTTAGACACTCAGTCCCAGGAAAGTGTTCATAGGATTGCTCCGCAAGCTCTCCTGAGACTTCAACAGGATTCTGAGCAGATCTTCTTAGGATGGACCTATTAAACTAGATCACTTAACATATGCCCAAATTATGCATGACAGGGGAGCCACTTATTCACCTGTCTGCTTTTAGCGTCAAAATAAATGTGCAGTGAGAAGGGCTGAATCTTCCTTTCCCCTTGCTTGTCACTTCACAGACTTTTTCTCCCAAGCCTTGCTTGATTTCAGTTTTGGAGCTGAGCTGGGAAGAAAAGCACTTGAAGGACAGGAAAGTAAGGCACGGGAAGGAGTCCACTGCGATCAGCTCCACGCCTCTTGGATGCAAAAAAGAAAAGAAGAAACGAAAAAGAAAACTCTCCACCACCACCCCTTCCTTGATACGTAAACAAGGCAGAAACATGCAGCACGAATCAGTGGATGTGATTTCCCCTGACTAGTTTGAACCACTGAACATGTAAAACCTTTCAGGCACTCTACTGGGAACTGAAATGGCAGGTATTCTGGATTAAACAAACTCAGAACACAGGTGTGCTTTTGCAGCTATGGCACACACACACATTGCCATAGGTACCGGGAGACAAAAATCTGCAGCAACATTTGCATTATCTACGTTCGACGTGGCATTTGGCCTCAGAATTTGTTTTCCTCTTCTCGTAGGCTCTGCTGTACAAACACCTCTATCTTCCTCTCTTCTGGGGTCTCAAGGGAATTGTCCACACTCCATTTGGCAGTTAAGCCAAATTTAATCTTGTGATCTTAACACTTTAGAAGTCAGCTTTCTGTACTCGGAGTGCTTATTGGGAGGGCGAAAAAAGCTAGAAAGCAACAAAAAGGTTTTCAGAAACATTAAAGGCTATCGCTGATATTAACTAACAGACAATGTTAATAGGTGTGCATCTATAGGCCATGATGCGATGCAGTACTGAAGCAGAGACACCCCCTTCTTTAAAGGCCTACGTATTTGGCGTATATGCATAGCTGTTGATGAAGAACAGTTCCCCCTTCACTTTAAGAGAGGGCGTAGCTCAGCATGTACACAACTTTATGTGCAGCCCTTTCCAGAAGATTACTAGGAAGCTCCTGCTAGGAGAGGCCCATCAAAGGAGGCTTGCGGCCAGAAGCTGTGTATAAGAAGAACTAAGGGTACACCCAAGGTGGGGGGGAGGGCGAGGAGATCGATGAAAACCAGCCAGAACCTAAATACAGCTAGCCAAGTACGCTTTATGAAATTTGAAAGGACTTACTTTTGCACCTTTTAAAATCAAGCACCACTGCATGTTTATAGCCAGTCCTGAAAGATGGGAGCAGGTTTCACCTTTACTGAGCAGTTAGGCAGAGTGTTGCCCTGCGTGCCTTCTGTCATTTTGGCACAAGTAACACTTAAAAAAAAAAACTGAAAATTTGCATAAGGGCCTTAAAGGAGCCAGAGGGTTGTCGTGGTTAGGATCAGGGAGAGCCAGGTTCAAATCCCCACTCTGCCATGGAAGCTTGTTAGGTGACTTTGGGCTGGTCTCAGCCTAACCTACTTCACAGGGTGATGGTTAGGAGAGTAAGAGGGAGGTAGGGGAGAATGAGGTAAGCCACTTTCTCCCATTGGGGAGAAAGGTGGCCCAACGAAGCTTCCGGAAACACAGGAATCTGATGTTATCAGGTAACTGTAGGCTTCCCTGCCCCCAGGTGGGGGCAAGGGATCTCCTGCTTTTGTAGACTCAGGCCCACCACCCACCCTCCAAAAGACATCCCTCGACGAGGTTGTCGATGCAATGACATCACTTCCAGAAGTTTCTAAAGTGACATCCCTGCCCACCCCTGGAATGCCCCCTAAACCCCCCCACTGGCAGCAGGTAAGGACCTGGCAACCATAGCTTAACCGAATGCCAAGCAGACATGATACATACATTAAATGTACTGCATGTTAAAGGAGATTTAAAAAATAGAAAGAAAAAAAGCTACAGCAAGTGACTTCATACACTGCTGTTACGTAGCATCTAGTTATTCAACCAACTATTGAGGGGAGGTGTATATGAACACTTCATCTGGATATATTTGCATTTTAAAAACCTCATTCAATCTTTTAAGGGCATCAAGGTATAGTCAGTCAATCTTTGTTATGGCTCATAAGCCATACCGTACAAGGTACAGTGCTTAAAGTGTTGGAGTAAGATCTAGGAGACCTGGGTTCAAATATCCACTCTGCCACAAAGTTCAACTTTAAGCCTGCCATTTTATCTTACCCTCACCTATCTCATAGGGCTGTTGAGACGATAGTGGGAAAGAAAGAACTATGGATGCCACCCAGAGCTCCTCGAAGGAGTGTAGGATGAAAATGCACTAGACAGGAGAAATCTTGAAGACATGACCCAAATTTGTGTTAGGAAATTCAACCACCATGATTCCCTCAGAACACTCTTGTGGAAATAGCGTATTTCTCAAAAGTCCCAGCAGAACTCAGAGCAGTGATCTTCATAGAAAAGGCATGAAAAGGTTTAAGATTAAGTCCACATCACAGGCAGAAACTCTCACACAAAGAAACCACCAAATGAAGCCGTTTCTTAGAGACTCATAAACGGTGGGTGGGGAGGTAACAGTAGAAAGGACTCCCAAATCCCTTGAAGTGAAATGAAAGGACTGAAAGGGGCATCAGTCGGAAGGAGCTAAGAGTCATCATAAAAAGAAGATGATGACCACAGCTGCCTCATAGGTGGTATCAAATGAAACAGGTGTGCCAAGGGAAGCCTAAGAAACTCAGAAGGCGGGAGCACATGGGAAACAAAGACTGGAAGCCATAAAAAGAGGCCAGGGCTTCATGGGTTTTAGCGAACACAACAGCTCCAGGCAGCAAGAATTCAAGGATGGCAATGGAGGGGACACACAGGCAGCTGGATACAGGACACCAACAAAAGAACCCTAAAACATGTCTATGTGGGAAAAAGACTCACTGATTTCAACACAACACACTTCCAGGAAACACAGTGTTATTTAAAGGAAACACAGTGTTACGGCCCAGGCATCTAGAGGCAACAACCATGAGGATTTGGAGTAGTACAACGGCCAGAAACAAGGACAAATGCCCAAATTGTGTGTGTGTGTGTGTGTGTGTGTGTGTGTTAAGTGCCATCAAGCCACTTCTGACTTACGGCAATCCAATGTCTTCCAAAATGTCCTGTCGTTAACGGCCTTGCTCAGATCTCGCAAGCTGAGGGATATGAGTCCATCCATCTCCTGTTGGGTCTTCCTCTTGTCCCGCTGCCTTCAACTTTTCCTGGCATTACTGTCTTTTCCAGTGAGTCTCGTTTTCTCAGGTAGGCACGCATTACTTAACGTGGTGTTCAGTTGTCAAGTAGCTATTAGTAGGTGCACCAACCTCAAGGTGGAGCCTCAAGCTCTCCCAGAATTACAGCTGTTACCCAGAGTAGAGTACCCAGTTCCCCCGGAGAAAATGGCAGCTTCAGAGGGTGGACTTTATGGCATCGTACCCCTGCTGATCTCCCCCCCCCTCCCCAGGCTCTGCCCTCAGATTCCCAGGAATTTCCCAACGCAGGGTTGGCAACCTGATCTATTAAGTGTCTTACACAATCCCCCCCCCACTTGCATGGTTGCACCATGTACTCCATAAATCCTGCCATTGTAAAATGTCAGCTAATATTAAAACAGGTCAAAATTCACTCTGGAGTAATCCAAATCTGCTATTATTACTATAGTCACAATTTCACCATTAACCGCTTAGGAAGCTTACACCCTACGTTCACTTCCTTCTGGAAAACAGATTTTGCCACTCCATCTTCAGGCGCCGCTAACCTATTTCTATCAGACCATTAAGTCTCTCTCTCTCCCCCCCCCTTCCCTGCTCCTTGTCAGACGTGTGGGATGAGCCACTTGTGACATCTTAAAGGAAATTATTTTAAAGCAGGCTGTTATAATAAGGCAAGGTGGCTCTTTAAGAATTCAATTAACTTCCAGCTTGTTTTGCCATAAATCGTCCAAGAGCACGTCCTGCCACTCTTCATTCCAGGGATAGTGTCCAGAGACTGCCCAGATGTTTCAGCCTCCGGTTCTCCTCCGTGGAAAGTTTCCGCCTGGAGGCTGCTGCATTTAGACATTCTGTTCTCCTGACTCTACTTAATCTAGAGCGCTTGTCAGAGCTGTCACATGAACAGTGAATCATGGGCCCTCTCTGAAAGCCCTCAAGAGTCGCTCAGGGCAGACAGCTGCACAGACCTGCACCCAAACGTGGTCTCTCCCTACCGAGGGTTTTTACAACCCAGCCTTCGGATAATCCCTGAGCCTGACTGACAGGACCTGTTTGTTCAATAACAGAAATTTGTCAAAAACAAATTGGCTGTCTTTCAAACGGACACCCTTGCCTAGCCTGCCTGCCTCACCCCTTCTGTTTCCCCTTCCACACGACGACCGCGACAGCCATTTTCTCCCTTCTAAACAAACTGGAATTATGAAGGAATGTTGCTGCACGGCTAGCCTTAACAGATTTGCACATTTTCCCCTCCTCCCCTCCTTTCTTCTTTAGCATTTCCCAGGATAACATATAATCCTTTGCACCTGCAAAAGCTCCACAGACTGCTGACTGCCAAGAATCGACCACGTGTCCTTGCTTCCATGACCAGAGATCCTGTGTTTAAAGAGATAGGAGGGAGGCTGGTTATTACAAAGTTAGAGACTGTCCTGTTTCTCTAATGCTAGCTAGCTAGAGAGGATGCGAAGAGATGGTAGGGTTTTTTTTGTGGCATTTTCAATATGTGGGAAGTCTTACCCCCCCCCCCCCATAATAGATGGATTGGGAAAGATAACAGGAACTGAAAGAGATCAGGGTAGGCATGTTTGCAGAGGGTTAAACTACATATTCATTTCAGCCTGGAGCAATGCAGTTTTTCAAATATAGTGTGGATCTCTCTCTCTCTCTCTTGGGAAGATAATACAATGCAAAGAAAAAGAAAAGAACATTGGAAAATTATCACCAGAAACTTCCACTCCAAATGTACGTGCCAAACAAAGCTATTTCCGAAAGGCAGTCTCCAGTTTACTTCATGCACAGGAACCTTGCCCTGAAGTGAGGAGACCAGTGGGGACGACACGTTACAGGCACCACCCTCCCCATGGGTCCATCTCAGATATAAGGCAGATCCAGTGCTGCTGCTGCTGCTCCTCACGGTTTTCTGACCCGGGATGTAACATATCCACAAGGTAAAGTAGTGGCCCTTCAGAAGTGGCCCATCAAAGCAGCCCCAAAGGTGTCTAAGTCTTGCCTTATTATTAATAAATAGCGCAATAACAAGTGCTTCATGAAGAGTGATTTTGGGTTGGAACCTAGCTAAATCCCATGCATGGAAGCACAACTTCCCTGTTTCCCATTCCCACTGCAGCCCAAAATGCCTTATCCCCCCCCCCCCACACACACAATGCTATTCCTCTGGGATGGGAGACACCAAGGAGCAAGCATGAAGGGAAGTTGGAATGCTACCATGATGGGGTGGAGGGTGATCAGCAAACAAGGAGCTTTCCCATAGGATTCAAACCCATGATTGCCTTCCATTGAACTGGATCCTGAGACTCTTCTACGAAGTCGTCCTTCAACAGAGAAGGACTTCCTTCTATGTAGAATGCCATCTTCCTAATAGGCAGAGGTTTCCTCTGAAAAAGAAAATCTCTCTTTGTTGAAGGAAGCCTCTCTCTTTTGGAGGAAAACTTTGCAGAAGGGTGTCATGGGATCCCAACCCTCAGTCTCAATGACTCCCATTGTGATGTAGATCATTAACATTTGTATGCTACTGATGCTGAACTATTGAGAGCCAACGTGGTCCAGTGGTTAAGAGCTGTGGACTCTCATCTGGAGAAACAGGTTTGAGTCCCCAATCCTCCATGTGAAACGTGCTGGGTGACCTTGGGCCAGTCACAGTTTTCTCAGAACTCTTTCAGCCCCACCTTCCTCACAAGGTGCCTGTTGTGGGCAGAGGAAGGGAAAGGTGACTGCAAGCCACTTTGAGACTTCTCAAGCAAGAGAAAAGCGGGGTATAAAACACTTCTCCTCCTTCTATTGCCAAGGGATGGTAACTTACCCAGAGCCATCCAGTGAGCTTGTGGATCAGCAGATATTTGAACCTTAATATCCAAAGCCCACTGCTCCACTAGACAGCACAGCTTCACTATGACACGACATTCCTACCCCGACAAAAGGTGCAAGTTATCTACTTGCAAAAGGGTTAACCAAGAATGACAGACAACTATTTTTCATGTGCGCACATGCTGCAGAACTCAAAGCAGTTTGGAAGACCAAGGCCAAAGGAGAATTGAAGCTGACCAACAGGAAATAATGCAATCCTCCCCCCCCCCCGGGTGAGGTCAACTGAACTGTGGTATAGCCTTCCCCAGAGAAGTGAGGAAAGCCCTTCTAGCAGGATCATTTAAAAATAGACTGCAAAAGTGTTGCAAAAAGGCAACACTGGAGAACACACCACAGGGAATAATTCTGCATTGGCAAAGGTTGGACGGGGATGACGTAATACGCTTGTTTCCATCTCTGTCTCTTGTAGGCAGTTCCAAATTGAAATATGTGAGAGTGAGCGAGGGAAGGAACACACCAAGAATAGAAAAGGTAAAGACCAGGAACAATAAATGTGAGCTTAAACAATACAGTGTTACTTTAAAGATGGAATTTTTATCTATGGAACATAATTGTACGTGTTGAAGGGGGAGGAAGAGACCATTTTCTAAGAAAGCTACAAATGCATGCAGGAATTTTACATAAATTCTACAGATTTTGCTACTTGCACTGAACCTCTTAGTTCACCAACTGCCAATGGAAGGCGGGAGAGGCACTGGGCCAAGGATCAGTCCAGTCGCTTACAGTTTTCAGGGGCACGGCATTCAAAAGAGCCTTCTGTCTGGAAATAGTCCCAAGTGACTTCTGATGGTAAGCCATTTGCCATGTGTGCGGCTCTAGTGACATTCAAACCTCTCCCACCAACTCTGGCTTGTTACAGCTAAGAAATTCAGATCATTTACAGGATTGGCGGTTTCTCTTCCCCACCCCTTTTGTAGGAAAGTTTGATTTGCCAAGTAAGCACCTGAAAAGAGTTTTATGTTAAAATAAAACTCTACTTTTTATATGCAAGCACTCAGCAAGAGGATTAGTGAAAGGTGAGATATCAGAAGCATCTTGGCAACTCACTGGGCTTCCCCATGATCTAGCTACACGCTGAGATGTTTCATCTGAGGAATTCCCAGACCAACTGCCCCAATAATTCTTGATACATGAGAGAATTTTGAATGATCTGGAAATGTTTTATTATGGTGCAGTGGTGTACTGTACTGAACCTTGTACCAAATTCTGTTTTAAGCTGCTCTGGATTCTCCTTGATTGTGAAAACACACAGGATAAAAATGGCTTTTGTTTCCAGATGAGGCGATTTCTCTGTTTTTGATAATATCAAAAATTGCACCCAATGACATGTTAAAGAAGCATGCAGACAAACTGAAATGGGTTCAGAGAAGGACAGCAAAGATGGTCAGGGGTCTGGAAAACATGCCCTACAAGGAAAGACTGAAGGAAATTGGTGTGTTTAGCTTGGAGAAGCCTCAGGAGGGACACGACTGGACTCTTCAACTACCCGAAGGCCATCGTTCCTCCACTTTCTTTGTGGCATAGGAAATTATGGGAACATTACATAACGGCAAAGATAACTGAAGAGTTGAATTTTAAATCTGTAGAGAATTATAAATCAGATTTTGAGTCTATTTGGTACCCTATATTGAACTATTTAGAGCAATATGGTGAATTTTTTTTAAATGCTGGATCTATCCAGATTAGTTTCAATTTTTAAAGTATAATAGAAATAATGTAAGCATTTGAAACTGGATATTATTTCTTGATAGTTTCTGTTAATTTGTTGTACATAATTTTAACTGTTTGTAAAATCAGGGGGAAAACCCAGTACAAAGCATTTTTTAAAAAAAAACTACCTGAAGGTCTGTCACACAAAAGAAAACAAATACTTGTCATCAGCTCCAGCAGACTACATCCAATGGGCTTCAGTTACAGGGGAACTGAGCATTAGGAGAAACTCTGGAACACCAAGAGCAGTTCAACATGAGAATGTATCGTGTGGAATCACATGTTTTAGTCTGCTTTTAACTGTTTTATTATGGCTTTGTGCCCTTATTGTTAGCCGCCCTGAGCCCGTCGGGGAGGGAGGGATATAAATTTGAATAATAAATAATAAATAAATAAATAAATAAATAAAAATGGAACCAGCTGCCCTAGGGGGACAGACTCTCCTGTGCAGGAGGTTTTCAAGCAGATACAGGCTGCACACCAGTGTTCCCTCTAAGCTGAGTTAGTGTGAGCCAGCTCACAGTTCTTTAGCCTCCGGCTCACACATTTTTGTCTCAGCTCAGGAAGGATGGCTCCTGAGCAAACAAACGTATGCAGTAGCCAAATTGCTTGCTCACAACTTTAATAGTAGCTCACAAAGTAGGATTTTTGCTCACAAGACTCCAAAGCTTAGAGGGAGCATTGCTGCACACCCCTCTGTTGGGGATGGGATTTGGGTGTCCTGCATTGAGCAGGGGGTTGGATTAGAAAACCAATATGGCCCCTCCCAACTCTATGATTAGGGATGCCAGGACTCCTGCTGTAGTGGGAGACCTCCTGGCATTCTGGTGCTTTGCCCACTGGAACCTCAGGTGCTAGCAGGAGGAAATGGGGGGGGGGGTTTGAAAATGGAGTACACACCAGCATGGCACCAGAGCACTGATGTTACTTCTTGTAAAATCAGAAGTGACATAGTAGAGCCTCTAGAATTTACTAACGCTATGGCTAGTTTTTGTAAAATCTAAAGCATCTAACAACATCACTTCTGGGTTTTACCAAAAGTGACATCACTGCACTGGCATGACACTGGTGCACCATGCCCCAATCTCTTTCAGGGGTTGTCGGCTGCAGCCTGACAACCCTATCTGTGATTCATGAGAATGTATAGTGTGGAATCACATGGGCTGGCATGATACAGGTTTGCACTGAGCTCAGTAAAACTGTGTGTGGAAGCTGATGAAAACCTACACTCCTTGTGTTTCGGCCTCTTGAGGCTGGCAGTGTTTGGTAAAATGGGGCGAAGAAGGATATATGAGGTCTTGTTACAGCTTTATGCTTGCATCCAGAGATGACTCAACATATTCTGAGGCATAAAATTGAAAATGCATCCATCCCAGAGATTATTTACTAGAATGCCAACTAATAGGTTGTGTCTAATCAACTGTCAGCGCAACAAGCATGGATGCTAGCTGCAACGCGCCCCCCCCCCCGCAATCCTTTTGAACTCTTGGGCGTCAAGTGAGAAGTGCAAAACCACCTCCCTCTTCCACTTATGGAACACCATCTTTCCAGAGATCAACACTCTTGTACAGGGAGAGAAGGGTGGGACAACCCATGTCCACCTTCCGCTGGTAGTTGCTTGGATACAACCCAGTGTTTACTATACTGAACTGGCAATGCATGCCATGGGCCCAACACACTTATGTTGAAGCTCCAAATCAGCTACCCAGCAGTAACTGCCTCTCAACCTTAATGCCATATCAGTAAAATATGAGCAACAGTCATAAGACTGGCTGTGAGAG